TTTTTTTTATATTTTGTAACGCTATGGTGATTACTTTCAAACTGAACCAATGAATGTAGCCTAGTCAATTATGTAAATTGTGTTGATTTGTGATAATATGCAAAGACTGTTGTTAATACTTTTGTGTTGAATGTAAAACGTTTAGAACCTGATTTTGAAAATAAAAGCAAATAAAAAGTTTTGGCTGTCTAATTTTATTGTATTATTTAGTTCAAAAACAAATTTCCATTCGCAATGTAAAACTATGGTTTTAGCAAGCTTTTATTAGCGGTGACGACTGGGATGATTTCTAAGTGGAATCCCATTCGTCACCTGGGGGGTGACATATGGGATTTTTTTTCAATATAATTCCCACTTGTCACCGGAGGGGACAAAGCTTGGGGTGACGAGCGGGAATAACCGCAACATCCGCATCTAGTCATTCTTTAGTTCTCTGTCATAAAAATAGTTTCTGTCCAGCTACTTATAACATATTTGTTGATTAGGTAGCTAGTATTTATTTGATTGACTTTCTTCTATGGATATAATTCTAATGATAATAAAATACATAATCTTACCGGTCACTAGAGCCAATCTTCCAGCCACTATTCCTGACACCATTTTTATTTATTATAAGTTATAAATTGTAGACTTATAATACGAGGGAAATAAGAACCTGTCGTGTGTTTAGAAAGTTTGACTTTGAACTTTCCCTACTGCACGCTTATCAGCTTTATCAAACAACTGTTATCATATTGACATTTAAATATTCGTTCAAAACTTGATGTAGAGAACATTGAACTAAAGTTTAGAAATAAGGTAGGAAGAATAAAAAACATAGAAACGGCCCAATATTTAAGACTTCTAAATAGTGTATGTCACATCATGCCTCTTTATCCCTTGCTTGACAGAATTTCACTTAGGAGACGCATGCCAAAGAGTATAATAAGTATAGGGGTTACACATGCTTCGACGAGACGAATAGGCCGGCTTGAACAAAACAATCTCACAGGTAGAAGAAACTACAAAATAATAGATTTTATATTTTACCGTGTGAGGACTGGAGTTTTAATCATCGGCTCCCCCTCATCTTCAATTCCCGGAAGGCTGACAACATACTTACTTGTAAATACTCTTTTGGTTTACTAGATACTTATCCATGAGTGGTGGCGTGTTTAGAGATTCGTTTGTTCATTTGATGACATCTCTTACAAAGAAATACATAGCACAAACTACAGGTTTTTGCCCATTCAGGAATCGAACCATATTGTTTTATAGACATACTTGTTTGATCAATAAGACATTCTTCAATAAAATTTTAGCTCCATCGTTAGCCACATCAGCGCTTACCACCAGGCGAGATGGTGGCCAAACATTATACTATTAAGTAATAAAACTACAAGAAATATTGCAACAGATTATTTAGAAACTGGGTTCAAAAAAACATGTAGATAGGTAAATAAGCATTTATTCTTATTCTATAGAACACAGGTACATACAATTATTAAAATAATTATAATACAAAACTGTAGATAACCAATTTAAATAGAGCATTCAACTATGTTTTTAAAAACTTTGATTTGCAAAATAATTTTTTTAATCACTACTAAAATTAAAAGAAAAATTTAGTTGTAGGTTGTTAAAATAAACCAAAGAAAATTAAAAAAAAAATGTTTTACATGCCGCATTGAAATAAACAACACTAAAAAATATAAATGCAGGTAGCATGACTGAATTTCTCTCTTCAGTTCCATATTAAAATAAAAAAATAAAAACTTTCAACTTAAAATTACTTATTGGTACAAAAAGATCTTATTGCCTATAATGTGGGACTACCATTAGAGTACCACATTAATTAATACTAAAAACAAAAAAGAACAAAAATGGCAAAACAGTTTAACTGTTTGTTGTACAATTTATTAAAGATGGAAAATAGCACTTTTGGTCTTTACGATAAACCAAATAAACCCAGAAATAATGAAAGGTATATTTCTAAAGTAGAACTTTTTACAATATTTCTAAGTTGATCCGTTAATTAGTTCTTAAATTGGTGCCTCAGTATTATTAATCTCAAATTAAAAATGCTTTAGAAAAAAAAACAAATTTATCACTACTTTTAGTCAACAATAGGTTTAAACAGAATCCATAGTCTTTCAAACTCCGTTTGAAATTGTTCTACTAATTGTTTTTGTGAAGTCACTAGGCAGTCTTCATAGTTACCCCACAAGGCTTGGTTAGTCCAGTTTAGTGAGCCTGCCATAACAAACGGAGTCAAATTAGGATCTCCACTCAATGTGTCTACAAGGCAGAACTTGTGGTGCATCAAATTGGTTGACTTCATCCATCGTACTGGTATGCGGTTCTTTTCTAATTTCCTTATATTCGATCCAGGCGCAAACGCCATGTCAGCGTCAACTATCACACGTATTTTTACACCTCGATAATGTAACTTCATTATAATATTAGTTATATCTTGATTTGACCAAACGTACATGCAAATATCCAGGTTATATACAGGTTGATTCAAGTAATGCAATAATCTGTCCATATTTTCTGATATCCTACAACGAGAATATTTGCTCCTCTTAACTTCCTCTGATCCATATGAAAACATAATAACCTCATGAATTTCTTTTTCTCTGGTCTCTTCTTTTTTCTTCTTTGTCAAGTATTTATATGTAGCATGCGCAAAGAACGCAAAAGATAGCACCATAAATAAAGTTTGGCTATATGTTTTCAAAGACATGGTGTAGTTTTCTAACAATCAAAATTAAGGGTTTGGAAATTTGATCTTATCATCGACGACTTTAAAAATGTATAACAGTTATTAGTTTATATTACACGTATTTGAACTGTTACATTTTATATTCAGCTACGAAAATATTAGAATAAACTAGCTTTTGATTTACAATTTTGCAGTTTTCAGTTTTATTGCGGTTTTGCTAAATTTTGACGTCTTCATGTCATTGTCAATTTGTTATTGTCAAACTTCCCGCGTTTTTAGTGAATGAAAAAGAAGTCTGAAATCTGGGCTTTTGAATAAAAACAAAAGTACATAATTTTTAGGACTTAATTCATAAATCACTTTAATTTATAATAACTTTAGGAATGTTTTCATAAAGTTATATTATTTATGCTAAAATCGTGTGGCCTTAAGCGTAAATTTAAATTATACGAGCTATGATGAGCCGGCTGTAAAGATCCGCTGTAGCCGCCAATCAAACTGCAGGAACTGTAGCCATTATCCGTAGTGCTCCCATAGCCTACCACACTTTGTCCTATAAGACTATTTGTATTTTGAACGTACTGCCTATTGCTTACATTCTGCATCATGAGAGAATAATCATTTTGATATAATCCTGTATTGGTAATAGGAAGTCCAAGGTTTAAGTTAAGATTGTTGGCTTGAAAATGATGGAGCCAAGGTTCTTTAGAGTTGCGCGCATAGTCTTGTCTCGGATCTTGGTGGGGTATACCGATGGGCACAGCAATAGGCTCCGGTGAATTTTGGCTTGTTGAACTTCTGTGAGTTGACAAAGCCGATCGCTCATTTCTTCTGAATTTCGCTCGACGGTTTTGGAACCATACCTGGAGAAGATATTTTATGTAATTAGATCGTAGAATACTTACAAAATGTTACATAATTAGGTAACTCGACAATCTTATTCTCGTTTGGAACAATTAGGTTTTTGGAAGATGAAAATAACAATTAAGTATCTCTCACCTGTACTCTGGCTTCAGTCAGGTTGACCCTCGCAGCGAGATCTTCTCTAACAAACGCATCTGGATAATGAGTCTTTTCAAACACCTTCTCAAGAGCAGCGAGCTGCTGACTTGTGAACGTGGTTCTATTCCTTCTAGGCTTTTTGCGATCATCAGACTTTATGTCTCTTTCTTCCTCAGACTCTTTTTGATTCTCTCTCTCTTTCCCACCCTTGTCTTCGTACTTTCTTCTCATGTCTTCGTATGCGAGGTAGTCAACAGGTTTGATGTAGGGTCTTTGGAGGTCTTTTGGGTACCAAGTAATATCATTCTGGTAACTTGTGTCGTAATTACCGTTGATCTGACGGCCTGCTGTTAAATGGTGCAGGCGTAAAAGACTGTCTTCATGACATTTTATCATTTGAAAGAGATTGTGGTTGGTTTCTGGATAATTTCCTGGACTTACATTGTAATTGGCAACGTTCTGGGACTTCTGATCGTAGTTCTTCGTTATAGGCTGTCGAGTGTTCGTAATATCTGTGAAGAAAGAGACGACTTATATTAGTATTAAAAAAAACTAAACAAAATACTAAAGGGTAATAATTTGTATTAACGAAAATATGAGTTTGATATAAGAATTGCACCTTTGCCTTCCCAAGAAACAAAGTAAACTCATTATACAATATATAACATAACAAATTGAAGTAAAATACTAATTTAATAAAAAAGAAGTCGTATTAAAATAATACTAAAACAAAGGGTATTATTTGATAATAATACCCTTTGTGATCAAAAGCGCGTTTGTTCTGCAGATCGCACACGCACCGACGGCTAACGTCTGTAGATCGTTGTTTGATCGGCGTACGCGCAACCTTATCAATTACTTTAGAAATCCGCAACGCTTGCACGTGGAAACTGTTGCTTATGCTTCTTTGAACTTACAATTACGAAGGCTGACTGCCTGAGTAGGTGCGGTACCTAAGTCCTTACTACTATATACCTAGTAGATGTTAAGTAAGTACCCATTTGCTTTGTTAACTCTGTACTGCGGCAATCAATATTATATATTTTCTTTTATAATTACACCTAGTTTAAATATCTGTTACTATACGTCACATGTATTTCTTTTTTATGGAATGGGAGGCAAACAAGCAGACGAGTCACCTGATGGTAATCGATCAGCTCCGCCCGCAACACCAGAGTATTATGTGTTACCCAGTTTTGCAAAATAAACGATCTATCTTTATCTTTTCAAAATATAACTATAAACCGAGGATAGTTCTCTCGTATATATTTCTCAATAAGTACCTAATTAAAGACTAATACTATAGACTATAATTTAAGTATGGGAGAGCCATGCTTCGGCACGAATGGACCGGCTCGACCAGAGTGATACCACGGCCTGACAGAAAACCGACGTGAAACAACGCTTGCGTTGTGTGTCGTCGTGTGAGTGAGGTTACCGGAGGCCCAATTACCCTCCCCTTCACCAAAATCCCCAATTCCTGAATCCCAGCGATCCTCAAACTCCTGATCCTCAAAAGGCCGGTAACGCATTTGTAACGCCTCTGGTGTTCCAGGTGTCCATGGGCGACGCCGATTGCTTACCATCAGGTGATCCGTCTGCTCATTTACCGGCTTATGCCATAAAAAAAGTATCTAATTAGATGAGAACTAGCATTGTATCAAAGGAGATTATGAGATGCGCTTTTAGGCGCCTATGTTTATGGGCGAATGCGCATTTAGAGATATTCTCTAACATACTGGCTTCCAGTAGTTTCTTAGAGGTGACAATAAAATCTGATCAGAATTTAATTAACGCACAGGTAATGTATGTACTTGCTAAAAAAAAAAGATAATGCATTTTACTCTAACAGTAAAAAGCTGGCATCTCATAGTCCATGACAGGATGGCCTGCTTTTTAGGTACCTAGGTACGTATTGCTCAAATTTCTTTGTCTGTACCTAATGGCTTTTGAATGCCTATTTCTTGCCCGTCCTTCCAATATCGAAGAAAAATAAGGTACCTGGACAGGACAGACATTTGAATACTAAGGTAAGTATGTCATTGGTCTCTTGGTTGGTTTCCAAATAATGTAAGCATTATTTTGTCTCTTCGAAAACAGTATGAAATCACACAAATCACACTATTACTATAAATTTTAAAGTGAAAGTTTCTTTGTATGGATGTTTGTCTATCAATCACGCTGAAACTACTGAACGAATTTTGATGTAATTTGGCATACAGGTTGGGTTACTTAGCTGAATTAGGTGATAAGATACTTTTTATCCTGATTAAAAGTATGGGATAAAAAAGGATTTATTTATTTATTTATCTATTTATGCACAACACACAGACAATACACAAGAGAACACATATATAAATAAATTGGAGGTACCTACATCATATTCTACTGTAAGTCGCGGGCAAAAACTAGTTACCTACTATAAATATACAAACTAGGTAATACTATCTACCTAGTCATTAAAAATACACAAATGGAACAATGTACTTACTTAAATAAATAAATAAATAAGCATCGGCTGAATAAATTTTCTAATCTTCTAATTAGGGAGGTAAGTAATGTTAGTTTATCTGCGTTCGATTCCGATTATTAAGTACTCGAGAAAAATATTTTTCAGTTAGTTCTACAAAACCAGAGAATCGTTACTTACCTACCTAAGTATTTTTAATTTAATTGCATCATTTATTAAACTATAAAATGTAACTACAGTTTTGCTGTTACGTTGCGCAAAATACACTTGGTAAGTAGGTAGTAGAAAACTATTTATTTTACAGAAAGTAACATTCCATTTATTTTTCTAAGTAGGTAATTAAAAAAAAACGAGCTACGCGTAAAAAAGCAATAAGAAATGAATAGTTTGGGAACTTACCTTTGTTTTGCTCCATTTTAGCAGTTTTGGCACGAAACGATATAAAAATCGAATTTACTCAAATATTCCGTAAACACTGTCACATTTGTTTAGTATCAAATCCCCGAGCGTCCACCGGCAGATCGAACACGGCCAAACCGAATAATTGTTATTAATTCGCCCTCTTATTGAATTACTTTATTTAATTAAATAATTCGACTAACTCATACTAATGTGCGAACTAATGGAGTCTGTGCCGCGATCTGGCTGCTTTGCTACTTCATCTCAAAAACAACATGTGTGTTGGCGCAAAAAATACTCTGAAAACGTCCCCTGGCTGAACACACCCATCCACTGAAAAGAAATATGATTTTCGCCTCTATGGTCATGTGCATAGATTCTATATTTAAAATCTGTGGCATGAAAGTTTGGTGTTGGAAATTAACACTTTATAACTAGAGCTTGAAGATTAGTTTTGAATTGGTGTTTGAAAGTGGGAGTTCCACTTAGTTCTAATTTTGAATTTGTTTCAAAGGCCGCGAGGCGTGGTTTGTCTTGGCCCGCCTGGCTCCTGAGCATAAAAAAGTAAAATATTTTGAGCGGGAAGCGATTCAGGCAATAATTGACACGTCAACGTAATTATTTATAGCGTTCGTAAGAAAATGAATATAAAGTTTTTAAGTAATTGGTTGTGATAAGTTTATGTTGTTAGAATCTTGCGGTGCGGATGTGAAATTGTATTTTTTTATTGTTAGTTGAGAATTTTAGTTGCGTTTGAAAGCTAACGTAAACGTGTGAGGTCAGCTGTGGAAAACAATATTAAAGAATCAGGTAATTTTCCTTTATAGTTTTTTTTTAAGGGGGGAAAATCATCGAATGACTGCTCCCGCCTGGGTGAGGCGGGAGGGAGTGTCAGACTCTTACTGACTAAAAACCACCCCGTTCCTTCTCCTGCACGTCGAGCCGGAGCCCCGGTTACCCGTTAGGTTATGTAATTGTCACTCAATACGTACTTACTAGGTACCTATGTAGTTTACAAAATACGTAAATTACCTTGTAAGCACGACTCATGTGTTGTACCTATTCATACATATCTACTATTCAAGTAGGTACCTATATTACTACTCGTCATTCTTTTCGTGCACCCGGATACTTAAGTTGGATCATTTTAAAATTCTGGGCCCAAAGACTAGGTACTCTTTCTTTTAAGACTCCACCGTCTGTCCGTTTATCCACAATCAATCCCTAATCTGTAGGTAATTTCAATTACAAGAGATAGGAAAGAGTTAGTCAATAAATGTCCCAACGGATTTTGATCATGGTGGCAAGCCTAACTAGACTAGCCTACTACGTAGGACTTATTATAGTGCACCAGTATTAGCACAAACACAGGTGCACTCTCTGAACCCGACGGGACAGCAGACCGACACGAGTGGGGAAAGATCATGCGCAGGACCAACGGCTTACTTTACGGGCTTTACGGGGGTGAAACACCGCCGAACTTCCTGGCTGAATGAGAATTTTACTGAGAAGATGCTATTATTACTTTTTGGCCAGTGCGGGAATTGAACCCGCGACATGTCGCACAGCTGCCAGTCACCCAACCACTGCGCCAATCCTGCAGCCAATACTTAGGTTGTCGGTACCTACTTATGTGTTATAAAATAGGTATTAAAACTTTTTAGGTACCTACTTGTGATTGAGTTTCATGTTCCTCTGGCAGTCTGGCCTTCAACTCTCTATCATCCTCCTGAACATAGCTCGCTCCACGTGTCATTATAACTTGGTCTGCCAAGCTCATCATCATGTCTCCACGATTGGAGCAGACAGCCTCTTGGCTAGCTCGATATTGGCATCAATTTGAATCTATCTGTTTGTCTTCAGACAATACATTGGACATGACAATTATAATAGACATAATGGTGAAGTTTAGTAGTGTCCATTTTTAAATTCTCAGATAGATTTTTTTATAAAATGGCTCCACGCGAGAATTGTCTTCTTTAAGTGCCTCTAATTTTTAGTATCTCATAGGTACACAGAGTAGGTAAAATAAGAGCTATTGTTGGGTAACCGGTGTCCTGGATCGAACAAAGTATTATGACATTTTTTATTTCTCAGTACCTGACAGAAACATACTTATGGAATAATAATTAAATGTGTCTAAAGTTGTACACCAAGGTACCTTGGTGTAATACCAAGACTTTAAGACTCAACATAGAGGACCTAAAGTAAATAATTTACAAAATATTACTATGTTTTATAACGTATGCACACATTGTACATTGCATGATTGGTGCAAGCATGTATACAAATATTTTTTTAAGGGGGGAAATCATTCGATGACTTCTCTCGCCTTGGTGGAGCGAGAGGGAGTGTCAGACTCTTACTTACTATAAACCGCCCCGCTCTTATTCTTGCTCTTCAAGCCGGAGCCCCGGCAACCCGGTGACTCTTCAGCTGATCTGATGTATAAAAAAAATCTTATGTTGCTAACATCCTCAACTCGTTTGCAAGGTGTGCTCTGTTCCTAAGTGTAATAGCGTAACGTTAAAATTGACGGTAATGAGTTTAATACCACCGCGAAAAGTAATAAACCTATCATTTCACAGATTCTATAAAATAATAAATTTTATTTAATTAAATTATTTATATTTGTCCATCGTATGTACTACTTTCGTGCGTAATTTCGTAGTCGTGCCGGCGTACCTTCCCGTCTGCCCGGAATAGAACCGGCGACCCGTCGCATCGAATTAGTGTGAAATGTTGAAAAACGCCTGAATCGTACCGTAACGTGCCACAGACGTTGCCAGATGCCACAGACTATATGCTATTTAGTTGTGGAGAAAGGAAGTTCGATTATTTACTGATTGTTTTAATAAAAATCAAGCTCTGATATAATTATCTATGCACTAGCTGTTGCCTACAACTTCGTCCGCGTAGAATATGATCCATGTTTGACTGCCTCGTTGGCCGAGTGGTCGCAAGTGCGACTGCCGGGCAAGGGGTCTCGGGTTTGATTCCCGGGTCGGGCAAAGTGTTACTGGGTTTTTAAAAATTCTCAGTAGTAGCACGGAGTCTGGAATTGTGCCCGGTATATGGCAATAGGCTCACCCCCTATTAGGTAGGTACATGGGACTCATAACATAAATAATGAAAAATGGATGTTACATTGTACAGTGGCATAATGTGCACCTCTGCCTACGCCTTCGGGGATAAAAGGCGTGATGTTATGATGTTATGTAAAAAATTCTACCACCTAAGTCAGGCCATACCCTGCCTGTATACCAAATTTTATCAAAATCCGATCTGTAGTTTCAGCATGATTGATAGACAAACAACCAAACAAGGAAACTTTGGATTTGCCACTATGATAAGTACATCATACAATGATAGGTACATCATACAATGATAGGTTAATAGGTAATTAAATAATATACACAAATCAGTATATAAAAGCTTTTGTCCTATCAAAATCTTCCCTAGACAAGTACAACAAAACTAAGGGGGATTTTTAACTTATTGTTCAGTTTACGATCTCCCTTGGATAAGCGATTTTGAATGCGACTGCGCCAGCTTGTGTAAGAAGGTCTACAAAATTCATGTTTCTATTCATAATAAACGCAAGATCACAATAAAATATTATATTCATAGTTTTCTGGATCATACGCATAATTTGAAACAGCAGTGTTTTATGAATTTATTACGAAAATAGGTGATAAAATTATTAATTTCATGACGATAGTTTACGATTTCTTTGAACCTGTTGAAATATTTACAATTCGAAGACGTATTTAATTGATTATTTACAAGGAATACACATTTTGAAATCAAAAACGATGTATAAAAACTTGGATTCCTTTGAAGCAAACGTTCTATATTCAAATGCAAACGCGCCAAGGTGTCATGGCGGCCATAATTGGGGATGACAGTTGTCGGCGTGAGCGTGCGCGGCTCCGGCGCAAGACAGCTCGTTTGCGCCTGAGCATAACGAGACTGTACTAATCTTGTCTTGTTCTTCACTCTACAGTAATAATATAACTGATCAACATTAAAGAGAATTGTAATTTAATTTAAGATTTTAATGTTTCCAATATTATTGTTGTGTTTCTGCTAGATTTCTTGGCTCGAAAGGTCGACGTCGTTTTGCTGAAGGTTTGCTTCCATGATTCATTCTAATATAATTTTCGAAAAAAAAGACAGCAGCTGATATTGTCTTACAAAGAATTCAGAGCGTTTACACATCCTTATTAATCTTGGATCTATAATTATAAGAACAACATGTTAATCCTAAAATTGTACTTTTGTTAAATAAATAAATAAATAAAATTAATATTATAAATCGGAAAGCGAGTTTGTTTGTTTGTTCCGCTTTCACGCCGTAACTATTAAACCGATTGCTTTGAATTTTTGCAGACGTAAAGTTAGAAGTCCGGATTAAATAATAGGGTACTTTTTATCCCGGTAAAATTTGATATTCCCGAGGGAAAACAAAAGTATTGGTATAGATGGCGCTGTATGTATTGGTATATGTCATATAGGATATTTTTTATCCTTTTGTGACGCGAGCGAAGCCGCGGGTAAAAGCTAGTTATCTATATTTCTTTTCAATAGAGTCAGTAAACCAGTAATTTGACCAAAAGAAAAACTTACTTAAATTGACCTATAGAAACAAATAGAAGAAGCTCAAATAAAACCGTTAAATGAAGCATACTCAATTCAAGAATATAATTTGATGACTTCTATTATGTGAATAAAATTATGCATTTGAGAGTATAGACGTGGTAGTCAGTATCGTCACCTAAGGGAACATATGAACATCTTTATTCTTGTAGCTAGCTTACATAACCATTAAGATTTTCGCTCGACAAAAGCTCTACAATTTTAAAATACCACCACAGTGCAGTTTCGCGTTCAATTAAATAAAGTTCAAAACTGAAACATTTTTTTTACAAAACCAATAAATCATATTCAGCGTTAATTTGTGGAAGCGAGAGTTGAAAATGCAATAATAATTAATTTTGCCACGGTGTGGTCTAACCTGACGTGTTCATTTTCAGGGGATAGCGGCTCAATAATCTGTGAACATAGTCATTTGTCACCACATCATCCGGTGTGGTAGCCATGTTTGCATGTGTTTTGGGGATAAACACAAATGTTGGGACCTCCCTATACGTTATTGTGCTGTCTCGGAGAACCTAATGGGTAACCGGGGCTCCGACTCGACGTGCAGGAGAAGGAACGGGGTGGTTTTTAGTCAGTAAGAGTCTGACACTCCCTCCCGCCTC